TCTCTCTCTCTGGCGTGTCACGGCCCGGCGTGCTGCACGGACCCGCCGCACGCCGCCCTGCGGTCGGGACCGGGCGCAGCACCGTCCACCCAGCCGTCTATATTCAATTTCTCTTTCAATGCCGTCACGGCCGTCGCGGGCTTCGCTGGACCCAGAGCCGTTGTGGAAGGACTGGCCCTGGGCGCGCTCCTCGGTCATCATGCGGTAGAGGAAGTCGGGGAGTATTCTCATAAATATGAACGATTCGTTAAGCCAAAATCAATATAAATAGATATTTTTCTGAATTTTTCATTCCTAAGAAAAAGTCATGGTCGTTTAATAGAAAATTTCTGAATTCATTAATAATTTGAGTCATAATAACTTTGAAATAAATCACATTTGTTGAATAAAGACGATCAAAATAAGTGATTTTGTAGAACATTGATATGCAGCGTGTAGAAAGTGACAGAGACTAGTTCGTTTTTCGTAAGTGAATAAATTGGAAATTTCAGTGACAAGATTTTACATTTTTTACCTCTTAGAGAGAGGCGAACAACTTCCAATGGACAAAAATACGACTAAACTCATACAAATACTTACAAAAAATAATCAGTACTGTCAGGCGACTTTTAACATGCGCACCTTGATCCACTTCACTGATTCCACTTTTTGAGTAGTAAAGAAAAAAAGTCAACTCAAGAAGTGTTCAACAAAGGCATTCTCCATAGTTTCCCTAAAATTTTCTACGAACAATCAGTCTCCTTAGGAAATGTCTTGAGTTTTGGTATCCTCACGCACTTGGTCCTCGTTCGAGTCTTTGGCTCCGTCCTCTTCAGGCATGCCCCCACTCGCTGCTCTAAGTTTACTATCACAGGCACTTTTCACCAAGTCCTCCTCGTTTCTCGATGCCTCCACTCCGTTGACGCCCGAAGGCCGAGAGTCCGGCCGCGAGGGCCGTGGCGGGGAATGGTTCGTATGGAATAAGATGGGCCCAGCGTTAGGTCTGGGTAACCGCTCGTCGCTGTCGCGGCTCTTGTCGCCATCCTCTTCGAAGCGGGACCTTCTCTCGTCCCGATCGCCAACGGAGCCGTCGGACGAGGGTGAGAGGTGCACCACGTTGGTGTGGAGCATCGACAAGGGCGGTCTCCTCTCCTCGTCGTCCTCCGAGCTGCTCGAGTTGCGTTGGCGGAGGACAGGGCTCCACCGAGAGGCGTCCAGGCCCTTGCCGTCATTGTCTAGTCGCCCGTCGAGGCGGCTTCGGCAGAGCTGGTCCAGGAGAGCGTTGTTGGCCATCTTCTCGACGGCCTCCTTGGGTGGCCTAGAGAGGCCCTTCTCCAGGCCGTATCGAATGATACCGTCCAGCAGGGTGTTGTTGTCGTTGGAGCTGTCGTCCATGGTCTCCTCCGAGTCCCGACTTCTCTTTAGGCCGAGCGCCAGCGCCGCGGCCCTGCCAGGACTCGAATCTAGACCAAGGGCCCCCGCACCGGAGGGCGTGCCGGACGGCGTCCCGGCCGTTCGCAAGTCCGGGCTGGAGGCTGGACCTGGCCCCGGCCCCGGTCCTGGAGGTCCCACGGTGGCACCCTGTCCTCCAGGGGGTGGGGGGCCGGGCGCGCTCCTGTCCTGGACGTCTTGTAGCCTCTGCATCATGTGCGACGCCAGGAACTGCTTGGTGTTGGAGTTGAAGGGGGGTGCCTGGCCGCTGAAGTCCAGGGGCAACGGCGTGTACCCCGCGCCCCAGAAGGGGAAGGGAGGGATGCCGGGATACGCGGTGAGCGAGGGGATGGCGCCAGCCGAGTCGAACCTCGGCTTGAGCCCGTTCTGGGGGGCAGCCAAGGGCGCGGCGAGCGGTGCGGCCAAGGGTGGCTGGATGAAGGGCTTGGTCTTGCTCGTGCCGGGGCCAGCAAGGCCGTGGTTGAGGCCGGGCATGCCGGAGAGGCCGGGCAGTCTCTCGCCCGGCGACAGCCTGAGCGCGTTGGCGTTGGCCGAGGCCGCCTCCGTCTTGCTCTTGTCGTCGGCGGGCGGCTGCGGCTTGGGGTCCCGCTTGCGCGGCCTCATCAGGTGACGCTCCTTGACTTTGTACTCGAGGGTGGAGTGCGGCACGCCGTAGAAGGAGCCCGCCCGATGCACGCTCATCTCGCCTCGCTGCACCGCCTTGACGGCCTCGTTGAGCGCGTCCCGATCGTAGTTACGGTACTTGCCGCGCTTGGGCCGCGTGCCCTTGCCGCCCGCGGGCTGACCCGACTGGGAGGTCGTGGTGGTGGTGCAGGTCGTGCTCGTCGAGTGCCGGCTCGCTTGGTGGTGCTGCTGCTGCATGCTCTTGATGACGGACTCGGCCATTGCGTGGTGTTGGCTGCCGTAGTGCGTTCGCTTCAGGTCGAAGATGCCTCCGGGCGAGGTGGGGCCCAGCCTTAGGTGGGGGAACTTGGCGGCGAGCGCCTTGTTGGCCAGGATCTGGGCTGTGGTGGGTGGGCTGACGGCGGGCGCGGGCGCGGCGGGTGACGTCCCGTGCTCCGAGTGCTGACTAGACTCGCTGCCGCAGCGCGCGAAAGCAGCCAGGGTGACGGTGTCCACGCCGCCGTTCTTGGACGTGGGTTTGAAGGACGGAATCTTGAGAATCACATTGGGTGGGGAGCCCGGTCGGCCGTCGTCGTCCGCCTCCGACTTGAGCGACGGCGACGCGGTGCTGCGCTTGTCGTCGCCGTCACGGCCGTCGCGGGCTTCGCTGGACCCAGAGCCGTTGTGGAAGGACTGGCCCTGGGCGCGCTCCTCGGTCATCATGCGGTACAGGAAGTCGGGGAGGAGCGGCGACGCGAACTTGGGGAGGAAGTCTTGGGGCTCGGCGCCGGGGCTCTCGCTGCCGCTGCCGCCCGGCGTGGTGGGGCTGGGCCCGGCGCCCGCCCGGGCGATGAGGGACTGGTGTGCGCCGAGCAGCTTGGAGATGTAGGGCGCCAGCGCGTGGTAGTCCAGCCCGACCATGCCCCACTGCTCGGGGCTGGGGAAGCCGGGCAGGCCGGAGGGCGGCGGGGAGGTGCCCTCCTCGCTCTCCTCGCCCGCGCTGCCGCCCACCCTCCGCATGCCCTGCTGCAGCAGCAGGCGGAGCGACTCGGGCGCCAGGGCGGCGGCGCTGTCGAGCGGCGACTTGAGGGTCTTGTCGTCGTCGTCGCCCGGGGAGAGGGCGCCGTCGTCGTCCTCGGGCGGCAGCGCGAGCGCGCCGAGCGCCAGCCGGGTGGGGTCGGCGCCAACCATGACGAGGCTGGTGGGGTCGCACTTGCGCTCCATGGTCAGCTTGTAGACCTTGTTGCGCAGCGTTGACCGGGGGATGCCGTAGATGACGGCCGCCCTCCTGGTGCCCAGCTTGCCGCTCTGGATGTCGCGGAGCGCCGCCTGGAGCTCGTCCTCCGTGTAGGTGCGCCGTTGTGAAAGCGCTGTGTTGGGCCTCGGCCGCGCCCTGCAGGGAGAGAGAGAGCGTTTAGTGAATGTTGGAAGGTCATACACTGCTGCGGTGTGGCACGAAGAGACTTACTTGAATATGTTTTTGCTGTCGGGAACCCTGAGGGACTCCCTAAGCGCTTCCCGCTCCATGGCGAGCGCAGCCAGCGCCGCGGCCTTGGCGCTCAGGTCCAGAGGCATGGGCATGTCGGAGGGGCTGACGCCGGCGGCCCCGCTCGCCGCGCTGGGGATGCCCGGCGAGGACGCCGCCGGCGGGCACCCGGGCGTCGACGCTCCCGCGGGGCTGGGACCGGGGCTGCGGCTGGGGCCGGGCGAGCTGCTCAGCTTGTGCGTGTCCGAGCCGAGGGAGGTGCAGAGCGGCGCGCCCCTCGCCTCCTGCTGCTGGTGTTGCTGCTGCGCTGCCGCGGCCACGGCCGCCACCGCTGCAGCGTGCGGTGAGGAGAGGTACCTGCAAAACAATTGTCGGGTCAGCGCGCGCCAGCGGCCGGGCTAGCGCCTGGGAGGTAGGCAGCGTAGAGTCGCTCACGCACGGGTGCGCAAGTGTTGCCTACCCCCCAGGCTGACCCCGTGGCCCGGGCCAAGCCGCCCAAATTTAGGAGGTCTCCTCGAGCGCTGCCCTTGTTTATTCTTTTTCATTTTTTTCTGCGGTCCATCCTCAAGTCAACCTGGCTGTTGTCTCTTGTGTTTGTGTGTGCGTGGTTCGCTGCCTGCCGGATTTTCGTCCTGGTGGTTTACGTCTTGATTTAAGCCGCCGTTCGAGCGGTAGTGCGCGAAGTAGTGTGTCGTGCGCAGCGAGCGTGTGGCGGGGCCGATGGAAAAAGCGGGTGGTGGGGGTAGAGGGAGAAGGGGTGAAGCCCGATGGGAGGAGGAGGGGGAAGGGTGCGGGCAGCGCATGCGCCACATGCAGCGGAGAAGGGAAAAGTGGGAAAATGGGAATGTTTTTTTTTTTTGTTTTTATTTTGCCCGAATATTAGAAAGCGGAGGAATCAAATATTATGGCCACTTCACCCAGAAAAATGGAAACCTGTAACAACCATCGGATGATAAGCCAGGGACAACCATACAAAATATGGTTGAGCCGACAGTCTTATGGTTCCACCAACTTTGACAATGGTTAGGCTGGAGGATTGTTGCCACAACCATATTTTTATGGTTGTCTCTGGCTTACCATACGATGGTTGCTACAGCTATCAATTTTTCTGGGTGTTCCCGCGGCTTCTTTTTACGTCTCACTTCGCGCGCCCAGCTCCAGGAGAGGTTTTGGAGCAGTTAGCGAGGAGACAGAGCAATCGACACGTAATTTATACGTTCTCCGGGAACATTGCTCGTTGTACCACGTGGAGCTTTTGATTCTTGTGAAATACTGCGCGTTTTTTTTTCAATGCTAAATTTCAGCAGTGCGTGTTTGCCGCGGGCAGGGCCCCCCGGCGCCGTCCCCCCTGCTACAGCAGGCCGCCGCGGCGCCGCGCCCTGCAGCACGTACCGGCCCGCGGTCTGCTGCACCGCCGCGACAGACACATGGCGTAACGTTTTTAATTTGCGCGCGCTCCCGCCGCGGTGGCCTGGTGGTGGCTGGCGGATTGCTTGCTCTTACTCCCCTCCTACCCCTCTGCTCTGATCCACGACCTCGCGCCCGGCCAGGGCCCCGCGGACCCCGCGGACCCCGCGGACCGCGTGGCACGGAGACCACCCCGCGTCTCTCTCTCTGGCGTGTCACGGCCCGGCGTGCTGCACGGACCCGCCGCACGCCGCCCTGCGGTCGGGACCGGGCGCAGCACCGTCCACCCAGCTGTCTATATTCAATTTCTCTTTCAATTGAAAAAAAAAAAAACGTTAATAAATTTTGCCGCTATATTTCACTTTCTCTTAAAAGCAAAACAGAATTTAATAATCTGTTACTAGGAAAGTAGCATCAGAACTAAAAATAAAATCGTATTTTAACACTCCCTCGCGCACGTGCACCGCTCCCTGAAGGCACCGAGCGCACTAGGGTCCCGGCCGGTGGCCTGCGCGCGGTGCGTCGCTGTGCGTCGCGGTGCGTCGCTGTGCGTCGCGGTGCGTCGCTGTGCGTCGCGGCGCCGCCCCGTGTGAGAGTGCAGAACCCTGTCGGCGCGAGAGAATAAAAGCAGCGCTTTGCAGCAGGGCGTCTAGGACGCGCGGCCAACTGGAGGCTGCTCGGCTCGGCTAGACTGCTGCTCCCACCTATGCACCCCCTCCCCCCCTCCTCTTCCCCTCCCGCGGCGACCGGCGAGGCAGCGACGGCATCGCCCGCGAGACGTTCGGCTTCCGCCGTCGTCGTCGTCGCCAACTTCCGTCGTCATCGTGTCTATCGTACGACAATATTAATCATTAGCCATGGGATGTAGGCTGCTAGGCGGGGCTATCGACCCGGCCTTGCAAGAACCGCCTCTACCCGCCCCGCCGCACCCCGCCGCGCCCCGCCGCGCCCCGCCGCGCCCCGCCGCGCTCTAGCTTGTGGGGAAGCCAGGCAAGGGACGCGGCCCTCGCCGGCCATTGATCAACGTGTTCTAGGCTAGTCTCCGCTAGACTCCCGCTAGGCTGCGCTAGCCTAGCTTAGAGTCGGTAATACCCACTGCACACCCCACCCCGC